AGGTATTTATATAATACAAATGTTAGCAATAACCAAAATATAACATAGGCCTGGTGGTGTTTAAGATTGTAAATAGTGTCAAGGACGTGAGTTCGAATCTGAATCATTTCAAAATTTTAGGATTTTTTCGTTTTAATTAAATAAAGGGTACGATAGTCTTTTCCGCTTCATCTTCTTCCTTTGGACAGCCGCCTGCAAACCTAGATCTCGACTTCTATCTTTTTTTTTCACCTTATTAATCACTATTATTCATGATTTATGTACTTCTACTTAAAATTTTGTAGATCCATCACTGGTTTTCCATTTTTAGCCTCAAAATACACCAAAAAAAAGATTTTTCAGAGAAACCGATTTTTTTATATGAACAAGCAAAAATTGCTGCGGTCGGGGGCCGCCGAGCGCATACCGACGCTTAAGCGGCCGCGGCGGCCGCGTTTTTGAACAGGAGAAAAAACAGAGAGAAAAATAACCAATGAACTCCGAAATTTTCCAATAGTATATATATCAATGATATAGAAACTTATATGTATAAATTATTGAGAATTTTGCATCTCATGACAAGGAATAATGTGGTAATTGACGAAATAACCAAAGCATGTGCAAAACCTCATTGTTTTTCAAAAGAATCTCCACAATTTTAGTTAGATTACCGTATAATTTTTGGTTATCTATAATTTACTCTAGATTATTCACGTTTGCTTTAAAACCCATGGCCATTAATTGATAAAGAGGGACCCTCAAAGAACCCTAGAAACAAAAAAAGAATTTAAGTTTCTTCATAAGATTCCATATTTAACAAACCCTCAAAGAAAAAAAAATCTCAGCACATGATTTAAGTGGCATTTTAAGTTTATAGTCATTACAAGAAATTAATTACTACAATTTGTTTATATAGTTTTAATGTGACTTTGTCTTCTACTTGTTTCGTTTTCTCCGCTCAAAGAAATCTCGTGCTAACATGGGGTTTCGATTACGCACCGACCTATCTTAATTATACTTCAATTAATTAACTGGGAAGTATAATATAATAAACATAAATTATCATTACTCGTTTCTTCCGTTAATTACTTCCATATTACTATATGGTTTTATTGTAGTTATCAACTTACCTTGTTCTTTTGTACAATTACTCATCCCTACGCATAACGTATATATAATAACCAGTGTAAAATGTATATATACACTGAAAGAAAATTAACTAAAAAAAACTTGATCATCAAATCAAAAATCATTTATATATTATTAACTACCAAATATTACGCAACAAATATTATTCATGGTAAAGTTATCAACGTACGAGTTTAATTTGGTATCAAGTTCATCAATAATCTACCGGCAAAATGGTGATCCTAATAAGTGCATGAAACTAATCAATAACAATCGATCGGATAAGTGAAATATATACATATTTTATTTCTGAGTTCATAAATCTAACCGATCTATTCAACTAATTGCCGGTGCATTAAGAAACACATCTCATCTAGCATCCTCGAATCCAGATCCCAAAATGATTAATGTGTAAACAATGAAATATTGATCTGCGGCTAATATTTAATTCCAATATTTTGTTATAGAAAAATCAAATGATTCCTTCCGCGGTTGCATGCGTATATTATTAAATTTATAATCGAAAAAGAAAACAATTTAACCTAATTATTGTGTAGAGAAAGAGCTGGCTGCATTAGGCGGAGCCATGTGAAACGAGAAGCAAGAAGGAAACTCGAAGGATTATATATATAATGTTATCAAGCATGATTATTATTTATGTTACTATATTAAACCCAAACTAAACATATACTATCAAGTACAATACGTAACAGTAATTAGAGACACGATAATTGCTTTGATTGGCTTAAATGAATAAAATCAGGACTTTTTTTTAGAGTTCCAAAGTTTGAATCTGCAGGTCAACATCTAAATTTCGAATAGTACATCACATGAATTATTGTCTGTTGATTCTG